AACATGCGCCTCTTTTTTTTCCTCTTTTTTATTGAAAATCCTCTTTTTTCTAGAAAGGAAATTCCTCTTTTTTCCTCTTTTTCTACGAACTGTCGGTGGGATGCCAGTATAATGAACTATTGATGAATTTGTCTAAGAAAAAAGAGAATTTTCAAAAAATAAATATCAAAGAGTATTGAGTAGAGATCAGTGTCAGCAATGAAAGTCGGTCTTTTAGTACAGGGTAGAGATGGAACTGATCTAGATGTTTGACAACTGGTATCAGTCTGAGTAGGAAAGTAAATAAGGTAGATCGGTGGGTATTAAATCCGTACCGGTACGAATTCCATTTCTAGGACCGGGTTTATATCCTTTACTACAACAAATTCTCACGAAGGAAGTACTCCAACAGATTCCGACTCCATCTTTTGGGCACAGGAACATTTCATTGATAGTAAGAAAAGTCTATTGTTGAAGGTCATATCTCAATATATAAGATTTTTTCATGAAATTTATTTTTTTTTTAAATCTTGTATTAGATTTTTCTCTTGAAATTTTAGATTGTACTTCGAAAAATGCATCCTAATGGTGCACCATTAATATCTGATCCAATAATGCAAGCTCTATTACAAATGCTTTAAAAAAGTGGTGGTAAAATAAGTGCTGTTCAAGAAGATGCACTTGTTGCTATTAGTACTCTTGTTGAAGGTTAGGATTTTATTTTTTTTTGTTATACTATTTATAGTTTAATTATTTTTAGTATTGGGAATGAATTTTATTAAATATATTGATCATGTTCTTCCATTTATATATGAAGCATTAAATAATCATGCGGAATATCAAATATATTCAACTGCTGTTGGTGTTGTTGGTGATTTAAGTCGTTTATTACTTGATAAATTAGCACCATATTGTGATCAAATAATGACACATTTATTTACTTGTCTTGCTGTAAGTTAATATTAATTTAAGTGATCTTCTTCATAGATCAAAATATGAATATGTTGTCCTAGTGTACAAATCTATAAAAATAGTTTTGGCAAAATGTTTTTGTAGAATTAGATCTACAACTTGAAGAAACTTTTTTTTTACGAGTAATCAAATCTTGCGCACATTTTTGAGATGTTCAATAGTGTGAGTTAGAGCCT